GGAACACACAGACTGCGCAGCAGCCGACGCGATCGCGGACGAGGCGACGCCGCGGCTATTTCGATGCGCCTGGCGCAATATTCTGCAACGCGCAAATGGCTTGCCCTCTGACGAAAATGCCTGCAAGCCGCCAACTCTTGCACCCAGCCCGCAGCCGATGCGCCGCGCGGCCCGCGCCCCCGCCACTGCCCAGCACATCCGCACAATGAACTGATTAATGACCCCATCACGTGCGCCTGCGCGCGCTGCGCGCAAGGGCGATGGACGCGCCAGCGAGCGCAGATGGGCGAGCGGGCAAGAGGGCAGGGCGGACGGCAGGGGAGCTCTGTCTCGGAGTCGTCGCCGCTGCGTTCACGCCCTCGCACGTCGCCTGCGCAGCGACGCGCGAGTTCCCTCGCGGCGAGGCTTGCGTGCAGGGGCGAGAGCGCCTGCAAAGCCTCGCGACCATAATTGCACCTCCGCTGCGAGGCGCTGGAACGCGCGCCGACGGCCAGGCCGGCCGGGGAAGGGACATGCGCGGCACCTGTTCGCCATTGCTTCTTTCAGGCGACACCTGGCCGGGGTGGCGCACGCCGTATCTGCGACGAAGATTCGCCGCGCCGCGAGCGGCGCGGAAACATGAACCGCGCACGCGCAGCCGACCGCTTCCAGGCGACGGGCTCGAGCCAGACGCGCGGCGGCTCGCTGCCAACTTCAGCCCTGCATGCTGAGTGGCGCGCCGCGCCTGCGCTTCGGGGCGTAGCCGCAGCCCCGCGTCGCTCCGAAGCGCCCGACAACTGCTGGCCGCCTGGAGAAGCGACTGCGTGGCCAAAGCAACCAGCGCGTCATTGACGTCTACTGCAGTCGGCGCGACGGCCTGCAGCCGCCGCGGCGGGCGCGCCAGGACTGCGCGAGCACGCGTTGGTGGACCGGGCTGGCGCCCGCCAGTGCTTCGAACGCCTCGAAGCACTCGGATCGGCAGGCAGTGCGCCCTCGAGGCCTTCTTTGAAGCCGTCTTAGCTCCTGCGCGCAAGCCCCACCGCATGATTTCTGAAACGCATCTTCGGCCTGGCCACGACGCGACTACCGGGCGCGCCCCCTCGCGGCGCGCGCTCCGCTTGCCCGCGCCGCTTCTCGCGTCGCGATCACCGCTGCAGCGCGCGCTAACGGCGACGGCGCGGGTGGACCTGCCAGTCGCTTTGCGGCGTCGGTGGCACTGCAGCGGAACCTGCAAGCAACGCAGACGCCAATGCGAGAACCCACTGCGAACCCATGGCCCGCCTGGAACCGAGCGGCAGCCCCGCGCGCAGGATGGGCGCCGTCTGCGCCGCGGCGGCACTGGAAGGCGCAGTCGCGAGAGCCGCGCGAAGCACAACCATGAGCGGCGAGACGCGGTCAGCATGCGAAGCATGGGTCGCAGCCAGCCGCGGCTGCGGCTGGCCAAGATTGCCATCACAATCGAACCAAATCGTTTCTCAAATCGTCAAGGCCGATTCGCGGCGACACGGCAGCGCGGCACTGACTCGCGCGGTTGGCGTTCGCGCTATCGGAGGAAATCTGCCCGGAGATGGTCGGTTTCCTCCTGTGCTGGGACGGCGCGGGCCAGCCGCCGTCGGCGCCCTATCCGCGCGCGCTGCGCCAGTGCTCCAGTGAATTCGGCGTCTTGTCTGAGTTGATCGATGTCTTCCTTTACGATCACATTCACGTCGACGCTGGGGAGCTTTCGGAATGGCTCCTGGGGCGCGCCGACGGCCGCGAGCGCATTCCGCGCGCGCGCAGGGAATCGCCGTGACGAGCGTTCCGTCCCGGATTCTGCGCGCGTCAACTGGCGCTGCCCCAGCGCTTAGGAAGGCCACGTTCGACTGGTGCTCACGCTCGCCAGCTGCCTGCGCGCGCCATCGGCGCGCGGGCCCGATGCCGCCGCGCGCGCGCGTGCGACCAAGGGCTGGAGCGCGGCCGACGCACTGGCCCACGCCGAATCCATTCGACGCCTTGCCTGCCACAGGGGCCCCGCACTTGCGAGCTCGCGCGCGCAGCGTCGCGACTCCTCCGCCATGTCTGCGCGCGCCTCAGCGAGGACCTGCGCGTCGCCTCCATGGCCGCCACGGCCCGCCCACTCGCCTGCCAAAGTGGGCGGGTCTCTCAGCGCGCGCGCCGGGCGCGTGCAATCCGCCGCCTTGCCTTGAGGGACGTGGACTGAAATTTCAAGCGACTGGCCCCGCAGGGCGACGCCTGCGCCGCGCGCCCGCCGACTCCGCGCTTCTCGCTTTCCGCGCCGAAACACCGGAGACCCCGCGGAAGATGGGCGCGTGGACTAGTAGAAGGCGCGCGAGCCGCGCGCCGCGCCCTCGAATTACCTCCGCCATTCAATGCTTTAGAATGCAAGCGTGAACGCGCGCGCGCGTCGAGCGCCGCTCAACGCACTCTCGCGCGGCGAAGCGACACGCCGATGAAACCCGCGGAAACGCGCGGGGCGCGATGACTGGGGCCCCCATCGGCACAGGGAGCACCAACATCGCAGTCGCGAGAGATGCGGCGAGGAAGGCGACGCGCGGAGACCCAATAACCAAATTACTCGGGCGCTGTAGGCTGCAACGCATGCGCTGCTCCTGGATGCCTGCGACAGCTCGCCCGCCGCGCGCCGCCGCCTGCCCCTCGACGCCTAGCGCGAGGGGGGCTGATGGAGAAGGGGGGGGGATCGGCGACGCATCGCCGATGAGCCCCCGACTGCAGAAGCTTATGACCCCGTGCCCGCTGGGGCGCGCAGGCCGCGATCAGGGGGCGATGCTTCCCCCTCCCTGTCGGCGCCCATGATGGCGCGGCATCGCGCAGGGAGGGCGGCGTCGCGAGGCTTGCCAGGTAAGTGTCTTGCGCTCCGCGGGTGCGATCGAATGCCCGGACGCCCAACGTCGCCCGCCTCGACGCGCAGGTATACTCGCGACCATCTCAGGCAGCGGGCTGCAGGGCCGCTTGGATAACCCATCCAGCTACGCTGGCGACAAACAAAAGCCAAGGCCCAAGCGGGCGGCAGCTCTGGGGGAGATGCTGCCGACTCCGCTCGCGACGAAGGGCCGGCGACGGCGCGGCGCGCCTTGCCTAGGGGGGAAGGGCAGGGCGGGCATCCGCACTTCAACCCCATCGACGTCGCAGCGGGCCCACGGGGGGTAGACAACCCCCCCCTCTCTAGAAAACGCGAAAAGGCATTTGTGCCAAAGTGGCGCAGCGAGTGGACTCGCTCATCGCCTTGGGAGGGGTTGATAATGGCATTCTCCAAAGACCACCGCTCGCTCTGCGCGCGGCGCCCCCCCGCCCGCGGCCACCGAGCGGCGCCCAGCTGACCCGCGGGCGAGGGGAGGGCAATCTCGCAGAAGCCGGCGCGGCCCATATACTTTGTCAGGGCATCCGTCCGTTCTCTGGCGCGCTCGAAGGATCGCCGCGTCCGCGGCCGCGCGCCAGTCCTTGGGCGGCCCGGCGCTCGCGCTGCGCAGGTGGTCGCGCAAGCACTCGCTGTCTTCGCCAAGGGCCGTCGGGGAGCTGCGAGAGGCCGCGGCCAGGGCCGCCCTGTCCCTCGGACCAGGCGTCGCCAGCTGGGCGCCGCATCTCCTTCCAAACCTTCGCTCGGCACGTGCGCCCGCAGCGCTCCCCGCGCCGCGCGCCCCCCCGACCGGCCCCGATCCTCGACCCAACTCTACTCCGCTCTGCTATTTTTTACTCAACCCTGCATTGTACGACTCTTCTTAACGCTGCCCTACACCACCAGCTCTACTCTACTCTACTCTAACTCCACTCTTTTGTCTCTCACTCGGCCACCTGGCCGGCCCATCGCAACCATGCCCGTGGAGGGAGGGCATCCTACTGGCCGAAGCTGCGCTGCGCGCGGGCGCATGCGGGCCGCCCTCGCTGCCCCGAGCCACGCGGCCCCGCGCCCGGGGCTCGCGCTCGCGGAGCGCCTCGCGCGCGCATTGCAGCGCGCGGCCCCGCGAGCAAGGCTCGCGCGCGCACGGGGCGACGGCGCGCGCTCTCCCGTGCGCGGCCCCGCGAGAAGGGCTCGAGCGCGCGGGGCCTGGGCGCGCGGCGCGCGCGCTTTCGCCGCTCGCCTTTCTGCTTGCATCGCGGCGCGCCTCGGGGTCGCGCGGGGCGCAGGCGTCGTCGCTGGCGCCCTGCAGGCATCGGCGCTTGCGCCCTGCCGTCGCGGACGGCGCGCGCGCTTTCGCCCCGCTCCCCCGCTGTCGGGGGCACTTGCATCCCTGGCGCTCCGCGCGCAGGCTCAGACTGGCGCCGCCAGGCTGGGCGGCGCAGGGGGGGCCGCGCCCATGTGTCAAAAAAGCGCGAGCACCCTCGGGTGCGACTGCGGCAGCGGGGCCGCGCGAGCGGGAGAAATATTGACCTCGCCCGCGAGGGCCGCGCAATTGGCGAATGTAGATGACAGCGCGGCGCGAGCGCAGCGCATGCCTCATCCTCGCCGCGCCCATTTCTACTCTACTCTGTCTTACCCGACCCCATGCCATCGACTTTTCTCTACCATGCTGCACTCTACTGTACCCTACCTTACCCCATCCTACCCGACTGTGCCCCATTATCCGATCCTCCTCTCCCCTCTGTACTATTCCGCGCCACCCATTCATCCACGCTTCTCTGCTCGACTCTCCTCATGACAGGGGATCTGTCGACCCCTGTCCCAAGCTTCGGCACGCTTTCGACTGGGCGAACAATGGCGGGGGCCAAGCCTGGGATTCACTGTGGGGGGCGTCCACCCTGGATAGTGGTGCGCCCGAACAGCTCCCTGCTCGCTTTTTCGTCGAAAACTACAGAAACATGAAAAAAACTGAAGGGCTCCCGCGCGCACGCGATTGCGCGCGCTATTTCGTCCCTGGGCACGGTGCTCCGCGGGCGACAACCAACTTCGCGCGCTCCAAGCACGCAGTCTTTCCGCGTGCAACCCACCTGGCGCCGGGCCCACCTCGCAGTGATTTCTGCGCTGGCAGAACAGAAAAAACGCGCAGAGCTCATGAAACTATCGTTCACGAAGCGATCGCTGGGTCCCCGTGGATCACGCAAGATCTCGTCGCTGCCGCCAAGTCGGCTCGGACGTCGCCCAAGCGCGCCGTCGCCCGAGGCCGACGCTGCAATCGGGCAGCCCGCTTTCACTGATTCCCAAATCTGAGTGGATCCCGACAGCGTCTTGGCATAAACATTATACTGCCGAGTTCGCACCACTCGCGCTGGCGCGCGCCCATGCCGCGTCGCGCAGAGACGGCCGGCACCGGGAACACACAGACTGCGCAGCAGCCGACGCGATCGCGGACGAGGCGACGCCGCGGCTATTTCGACGCGCCTGGCGCAATATTCTGCAACGCGCAAATGGCTTGCCCTCTGACGAAAATGCCTGCACGCCGCCAACTCTTGCACCCAGCCCGCAGCCGATGCGCCGCGCGGCCCGCGCCCCCGCCGCTGCCCAGCACATCCGCACAATGAACTGATTAATGACCCCATCACGTGCGCCTGCGCGCGCTGCGCGCAAGGGCGACGGACGCGCTGGCGAGCGCAGATGGGCGAGCGGGCAAGAGGGCAGGGCGGACGGCAGGGGAGCTCTGTCTCGGAGGCGTCGCCGCTGCGTTCACGCCCTCGTAAGTCGCCTGCGCAGCGACGCGCGAGTTTCCTCGCGGCGAGGCTTGCGTGCAGGGGCGAGGGCGCCTGCAAAGCCTCGCGACCATAATTGCACCTCCGCTGCGGGGCGCTGGAACGTGCGCCGACGGCCAGGCCGGCCGGGGAAGGGACATGCGCGGCACCTGTTCGCCATTGCTTCTTTCAGGCGACACCTGGCCGGGGTGGCGCACGCCGTATCTGCGACGAAGATTCGCCGCGCCGCGAGCGGCGCGGAAACATGAACCGCGCACGCGCAGCCGACCGCTTCCAGGCGACGGGCTCGAGCCAGACGCGCGGCGGCTCGCTGCCAACTTCAGCCCTGCATGCTGAGTGGCGCGCCGCGCCTGCGCTTCGGGGCGTAGCCGCAGCCCCGCGTCGCTCCGAAGCGCCCGACAACTGCTGGCCGCCTGGAGAAGCGACTGCGTGGCCAAAGCAACCAGCGCGTCATTGACGTCTACTGCAGTCGGCGCGACGGCCTGCAGCCGCCGCGGCGGGCGCGCCAGGACTGCGCGAGCACGCGTTGGTGGACCGGGCTGGCGCCCGCCAGTGCTTCGAACGCCTCGAAGCACTCGGATCGGCAGGCAAAGCGCCCTCGAGGCCTTCTTTGAAGCCGTCTTAGCTCCTGCGCGCAAGCCCCGCCGCATGATTTCTGAAACGCATCTTCGGCCTGGCCACGACGCGACTACCGGGCGCGCCCCCTCGCGGCGCGCGCCCCGCTTGCCCGCGCCGCTTCTCGCGTCGCGATCACCGCTGCAGCGCGCGCTAACGGCGACGGCGCGGGTGGACCTGCCAGTCGCTTTGCGGCGTCGGTGGCACTGCAGCGAACCTGCAAGCAACGCAGACGCCAATGCGAGAACCCACTGCGAACCCATGGCCCGCCGCGAACCGAGCGGCAGCCCCGCGCGCAGGATGGGCGCCGTCTGCGCCGCGGCGGCACTGGAAGGCGCAGTCGCGAGAGCCGCGCGAAGCACAACCATGAGCGGCGAGACGCGGTCAGCATGCGAAGCATGGGTCGCAGCCAGCCGCGGCTGCGGCTGGCCAAGATTGCCATCGCAATCAAACCAAATCGTTTCTCAAATCGTCAAGGCTGATTCGCGGCGAAACGGCAGCGCGGCACTGACTCGCGCGGTTGGCGTTCGCGCTATCGGAGGAAATCTGCCCGGAGATGGTCGGCTTCTTCCTGTGCTGGGACGACGCGGGCCAGCCGCGGTCGGCGCCCTATCCGCGCGTGCTGCGCCAGTGCTCCAGTGAATTCGGCGTCTTGTCTGAGTTGGTCGATGTCTTCCTTTACGATCACATTCACGTCGACGCTGGGGAGCTTTCGGAGTGGCTCCTGGAGCGCGCCGACGGCCGCGAGCGCATTCCGCGCGCGCGCAGGGAATCGCCGTGACGAGCGTTCCGTCCCGGATTCTGCGCGCGTCAACTGGCGCTGCCCCAGCGCTTAGGAAGGCCACGTTCGACTGGTGCTCACGCTCGCCAGCTGCCTGCGCGCGCCATCGGCGCGCGGGCCCGATGCCGCCGCGCGCGCGCGTGCGACCAAGGGCTGGAGCGCGGCCGACGCACTGGCCCACGCCGAATCCATTCGACGCCTTGCCTGCCACAGGGGCCCCGCACTTGCGGGCGGACGCGCGCAGCGTCGCGATTCCTCCGCCATGTCTGCGCGCGCCTCAGCGAGGACCTGCGCGTCGCCTCCATGGCCGCCGCGGCCCGCCCACTCGCCTGCCAAAGTGGGCGGGTCTCTCAGCGCGCGCGCCGGGCGCGTGCAATCCGCCGCCTTGCCTTGAGGGACGTGGACTGAAATTTCAGGCGACTGGCCCCGCAGGGCGACGCCTGCGCCGCGCGCCCGCCGACTCCGCGCTTCTCGCTTTCCGCGCCGAAGCACCGGAGACCCCGCGGAAGATGGGCGCGTGGACTAGTAGAAGGCGCGCGAGCCGCGCGCCGCGCCCTCGAATTACCTCCGCCATTCAATGCTTTAGAATGCAAGCGTGAACGCGCGCGCGCGCGTCGAGCGCCGCTCAACGCACTCTCGCGCGGCGAAGCGACACGCCGATGAAACCCGCGGAAACGCGCGGGGCGCGATGACTGGGGCCCCCATCGGCACAGGGAGCACCAACATCGCAGTCGCGAGAGATGCGGCGAGGAAGGCGACGCGCGGAGACCCAATAACCAAATTACTCGGGCGCTGTAGGCTGCAACGCATGCGCTGCTCCTGGATGCCTGCGACAGCTCGCCCGCCGCGCGCCGCCGCCTGCCCCTCGACGCCTAGCGCGAGGGGGGCTGATGGAGAAGGGGGGGGGATCGGCGACGCATCGCCGATGAGCCCCCGACTGCAGAAGCTTATGACCCCGTGCCCGCTGGGGCGCGCAGGCCGCGATCAGGGGGCGATGCTTCCCCCTCCCTGCCGGCGCCCATGATGGCGCGGCATCGCGCAGGGTGGGCGGCGTCGCGAGGCTTGCCAGGTAAGTGTCTTGCGCTCCGCGGGTGCGATCGAATGCCCGGACGCCCAACGTCGCCCGCCTCGACGCGCAGGTATACTCGCGACCACCTCAGGCAGCGGGCTGCAGGGCCGCTTGGATAACCCATCCAGCTACGCTGGCGGCAAACAAAAGCCAAGGCCCAAGCGGGCGGCAGCTCTGGGGGAGATGCTGCCGACTCCGCTCGCGACGAAGGGCCGGCGACGGCGCGGCGCGCCTTGCCTAGGGGGGAAGGGCAGGGCGGGCATCCGCACTTCAACCCCTCGACGTCGCAGCGGGCCCACGGGGGGTAGACAACCCCCCCCCTCTCTAGAAAACGCGAGAAGGCATTTGTGCCAAAGTGGCGCAGCGAGTGGACTCGCTCATCGCCTTGGGGGGGGTCGATAATGGCATTCTCCAAAGACCACCGCTCGCCCTGCGCGCGGCGCCCCCCCGCCCGCGGCCACCGAGCGGCGCCCAGCTGACCCGCGGGCGAGGGAAGGGCAATCTCGCAGAAGCCGGCGCGGCCCATATACTTTGTCAGGGCATCCGTTCGTTCTCTGGCGCGCTCGAAGGATCGCCGCGTCCGCGGCCGCGCGCCAGTCCTTGGGCGGCCCGGCGCTCGCGCCGCGCAGGTGGTCGCGCAAGCACCCGCTGTCTTCGCCAAGGGCCGTCGAGGAGCTGCGAGAGGCCGCGGCCGGGGCCGCCCTGTCCCTCGGACCAGGCGTCGCCAGCTGGGCGCCGCATCTCCTTCCAAACCTTCGCTCGGCACGTGCGCCCGCAGCGCTCCCCGCGCCGCGCGCTCCCCCGACCGGCCCCGATCCTCGACCTAACTCTACTCCGCTCTGCTATTGTTTACTCAACCCTGCATTGTGCGACTCTTCTTAACGCCAGCTCTACTCTACTCTACTCGAACTCCACTCTTTTGTCTCTCACTCGGCCACCTGGCCGGCCCATCGCAACCATGCCCGTGGAGGGAGGGCATCCTACTGGCCGAAGCTGCGCTGCGCGCGGGCGCATGCGGGCCGCCCTCGCTGCCCCGAGCCACGCGGCCCCGCGCCCAGGGCTCGCGCTCGCGGAGCGCCTCGCGCGCGCATTGCAGCGCGCGGCCCCGCGAGCAGGGCTTGCGCGCGCACGGGGCGACGGCGCGCGCTCTCCCGCACGCGGCCCCGCGAGAAGGGCTCGAGCGCGCGGGGCCTGGGCGCGCGGCGCGCGCGCTTTCGCCGCTCGCCTTTCTGCTTGCATCGCGGCGCGCCTCGGGGTCGCGCGGGGCGCAGGTGTCGTCGCTGGCGCCCTGCAGGCCTCGGCGCTTGCGCCCTGCCGTCGCGGACGGCGCGCGCGCTTTCGCCCCGCTCCCCCGCTGTCGGGGGCACTTGCATCCCTGGCGCCCCGCACGCAGGCTCAGACTGGCGCCGCCAGGCTGGGCGGCGCAGGGGGGGCCGCGCCCATTTGTCAAAAAAGCGCGGGCACCCTCGGGTGCGACTGCGGCAGCGGGGCCGCGCGAGCGGGAGAAATATTGACCTCGCCCGCGAGGGCCGCGCAATTGGCGAATGCAGATGGCAGCGCGGCGTGAGCGCAGCGCATGCCTCATCCTCGCCGCGCCCATTTCTACTCTACTCTGTTTTACCCGACCCCATACCATCGACTTTTCTCTACCATACTGCACTCTACTGTACCCTACCTTACCCCATCCTACCCGACTGTGCCCCATTATCCGATCCTCCCCTCCCCTTCTGTACTATTCCGCGCCACTCACTCATCCACGCTTCTCTGCTCGACTCTCCTCATGACAGGGGATCTGTCGACCCCTGCCCCAAGCTTCGGCACGCTTTCGACTGGGCAAACAATGGCGAGGGCCGAGCCTGGGATTCACTGTGGGGGGCGTCCACCCTGGATAGTGGTGCGTCCGAACAGCTCCCTGCTCGCTTTTTCGTCGAAAACTACAGAAACAGGAGAAAAAACTGAAGGGCTCCCGCGCGCACGCGATTGCGCGCGCTATGTCGTCCCTGGGCACGGTGCTCCGCGGGCGACAACCAACTTCGCGCGCTCCAAGCACGCAGTCTTTCCGCGTGCAACCCACCTGGCGCCGGGCCCACCTCGCAGTGATTTCTGCGCTGGCAGAACAGAAAAAAACGCGCAGAGCTCATGAAACTATCGTTCACGAAGCGATCGCTGGGTCCCCGTGGATCATGCAAGATCTCGTCGCTGCCGCCAAGTCGGCTCGGACGTCGCCCAAGCGCGCCGTCGCCCGAGGCCGACGCTGCAATCGGGCAGCCCGCTTTCACTGATTCCCAAATCTGAGTGGATCCCGACAGCGTCTTGGCATAAACATTATACTGCCGAGTTCGCACCACTCGCGCTGGCGCGCGCCCATGCCGCGTCGCGCAGAGACGGCCGGCACCGGGAACACGCAGACTGCGCAGCAGCCGACGCGATCGCGGACGAGGCGACGCCGCGGCTATTTCGACGCGCCTGGCGCAATATTCTGCAACGCGCAAATGGCTTGCCCTCTGACGAAAATGCCTGCACGCCGCCAACTCTTGCACCCAGCCCGCAGCCGATGCGCCGCGCGGCCCACGCCCCCGCCGCTGCCCAGCACATCCGCACAATGAACTGATTAATGACCCCATCACGTGCGCCTGCGCGCGCTGCGCGCAAGGGCGACGGACGCGCTGGCGAGCGCAGATGGGCGAGCGGGCAAGAGGGCAGGGCGGACGGCAGGGGAGCTCTGTCTCGGAGGCGTCGCCGCTGCGTTCACGCCCTCGTAAGTCGCCTGCGCAGCGACGCGCGAGTTTCCTCGCGGCGAGGCTTGCGTGCAGGGGCGAGGGCGCCTGCAAAGCCTCGCGACCATAATTGCACCTCCGCTGCGGGGCGCTGGAATGTGCGCCGACGGCCAGGCCGGCCGGGGAAGGGACATGCGCGGCACCTGTTCGCCATTGCTTCTTTCAGGCGACACCTGGCCGGGGTGGCGCACGCCGTATCTGCGACGAAGATTCGCCGCGCCGCGAGCGGCGCGGAAACATGAACCGCGCACGCGCAGCCGACCGCTTCCAGGCGACGGGCTCGAGCCAGACGCGCGGCGGCGCTCCTGCCCACTGAGAGCCCTGCTCTGAGTGGCGCCGCGCCTGCGCTTCGGGCGGTAGCCCGCAGCCCCGCGTCGCTCCGAAGCGCCCGACAACTGCTGGCCGCCTGGAGAAGCGACTGCGTGGCCAAAGCAACCAGCGCGTCATTGACGTCTACTGCAGTCGGCGCGACGGCCTGCAGCCGCCGCGGCGGGCGCGCCAGGACTGCGCGAGCACGCGTTGGTGGACCGGGCTGGCGCCCGCCAGTGCTTCGAACGCCTCGAAGCACTCGGATCGGCAGGCAGTGCGCCCTCGAGGCCTTCTTTGAAGCCGTCTTAGCTCCTGCGCGCAAGCCCCGCCGCATGATTTCTGAAACGCATCTTCGGCCTGGCCACGACGCGACTACCGGGCGCGCCCCCTCGCGGCGCGCGCCCCGCTTGCCCGCGCCGCTTCTCGCGTCGCGATCACCGCTGCAGCGCGCGCTAACGGCGACGGCGCGGGTGGACCTGCCAGTCGCTTTGCGGCGTCGGTGGCACTGCAGCGAACCTGCAAGCAACGCAGACGCCAATGCGAGAACCCACTGCGAACCCATGGCCCGCCGCGAACCGAGCGGCAGCCCCGCGCGCAGGATGGGCGCCGTCTGCGCCGCGGCGGCACTGGAAGGCGCAGTCGCGAGAGCCGCGCGAAGCACAACCATGAGCGGCGAGACGCGGTCAGCATGCGAAGCATGGGCCGCAGCCAGCCGCGGCTGCGGCTGGCCAAGATTGCCATCGCAATCAAACCAAATCGTTTCTCAACTCGTCAAGGCTGATTCGCGGCGAAACGGCAGCGCGGCACTGACTCGCGCGGTTGGCGTTCGCGCTATCGGAGGAAATCTGCCCGGAGATGGTCGGCTTCTTCCTGTGCTGGGACGTCGCGGGCCAGCCGCGGTCGGCGCCCTATCCGCGCGTGCTGCGCCAGTGCTCCAGTGAATTCGGCGTCTTGTCTGAGTTGATCGATGTCTTCCTTTACGATCACATTCACGTCGACGCTGGGGAGCATTCGGAGTGGCTCCTGGAGCGCGCCGACGGCCGCGAGCGCATTCCGCGCGCGCGCAGGGAATCGCCGTGACGAGCGTTCCGTCCCGGATTCTGCGCGCGTCAACTGGCGCTGCCCCAGCGCTTAGGAAGGCCACGTTCGACTGGTGCACACGCTCGCCAGCTGCCTGCGCGCGCCATCGGCGCGCGGGCCCGATGCCGCCGCGCGCGCGCGTGCGACCAAGGGCTGGAGCGCGGCCGATGCACTGGCCCGCGCCGAATCCATTCGACGCCTTGCCTGCCACAGGGGCCCCGCACTTGCGAGCTCGCGCGCGCAGCGTCGCGATTCCACCGCCATGTCTGCGCGCGCCTCAGCGAGGACCTGCGCGTCGCCTCCATGGCCGCCACGGCCCGCCCACTCGCCTGCCAAAGT